CACACACACAGAAACACACAGAAACACACAAGTCGTTCAACCAGACAGCATAGGGCGTAGGGGGGGCCCAGAAAATGTTTGGAAACCGCTGGGGGGGCCCAGGATAAAAAGTTCGGGAACCACTGGTTTAAAGAATGTTGTGCGATTTTGGACATATTTCAGATCGCATGACCACAGACCATAGAAGAGTGGAGACACGGATGGACAGGTAAATAAGGAATCTAATCATGTGGAACTGCTATTTTTCTACCACACCAGATAAAAGCAACACTTGTCAATCCATCTTACCATTTCCTGAACAAGAGACCACACCACTTGAAGTTATCATTGAAGGCGAGATTTCCCACCCAAAACCTGAAGAGAACAGTCAACCTTTTTCTGGACTAGGACTCTGACTTCAGGCTTAGAGGACTGACTGTCATCATGACTGCTTCACACTCAAACCATCCTGGGGCATGCTGAAGGCCTTGGCCTAAAGGTGGCACCATAATGACATCTTCCATACCAAGTAAAGATGTACCTTGGAGGCTTCAAACCAGACACCCTCCAATCCAAAGTTGATAATTGTAAGAAGTGTGGGTCAGAGTCCAACCTATTCTTCTTTTTATAACTTGTCAAGCATCTGTGCACAACCATTTTCAGATCTCTCCAGAGTGTTCAGTTGGATTTAAGTCTGGACTCTGGCTTGGAGACTCCAGAACAATCACAGTGTAGTTCAGAAGCCACTCCGTTGAGAAACTAAATAGCCTCTATTTGTGTGGCACTTCATCAAGTCCAGAGGACCCTACAGTCAGTCATTTCCCCATTTATGCACACATCCACCAACTCTGGTGTAAGGAACATACAGTATAGCCACAGCTTCTGACAGAAGCAAGGCTGCCTTACACCACCATCAGCAGGCAAAGCAAGTGAGTTGTGTCATTGTGCCCAATGACTGAGACAGATGAAATGGAGGCTCAAACTGACAACCCAATGATTACAGAAGGAACTTCTGCCACCATCACAACTGTCGCTCCATCAACAATGGTGCCTCAATAATGTCCAATGACTTTCAGGCCAAATTTTGATACAAACTATATTTGTAACAGAGGCTCTCAGCATTCAGACTTACATCTGAGGCCACAGATCCACAGAGAAACTTTCCCCTAATGTGAGTTGTAGATCTATCAAATCAGGCCTCCACCAGCTTTTCTCCAGTCACACTCACCATTCCTTGTGCCTTACCAGATCCTTCCATCACCAGAGCCAGCACATTTAAAAGCTCTGCCCTCCCTGTGTCTAAGAAACTGCAGAGACAGCACTCTCCTACATCTGATAGTACAGAATATCCTTTCTCTACGGCTATTATCCTTTTGATTCTGTCCATAATTCTCTCATGGGATATCGTCCATATCTCAGACTTTTACTACTTTTTGAGTAAAATTTACTGTCGGCTCAACAGTAAAAAGTTTTTATGAATGTCTGCAAGACTTTAATTTATTGTGACAAACTGAGTTGTGGTATTTAAATAACTACAGGTCTCATGATGAAACATTCCCTGGAGATTTAAATGAATCAGTAGATGTGATTTAGTTTAATAGAATCCAAAGTCCTTGTGGAATTGATGTCACAGGATTTGAATAAAGAACATGGACTTCCTTTTTTACTTGGCAGACTGACCGTTGGTACAATTAGCTACTTTGAGAAAAAAATGATTAGGTTATACACTATGTTTCAAGACAAAATACATAACACGTTACTAAAATTTAAAAAGTACTTTTGTGTTTACAAGGTAATTACTAAGATCCTATGTTATAGCTAAAGAAACTAAAGAGGAATCTTATTCTTCATGAGTAAAGATCTTGGGATCTGCAACATAAAAGTTCCAAAAGTTCCAAAAATTATCTAAAAAAATAAAAACAAATAGAAGGCATACTTTACATAGTACATAGGGACAAGTTCATGCATTTTTGCCATTTATTTCAAAGGCTAAAAGATAAAGACACAATGAAATGGAGAGAACACACCGTTGGGGGTCGCGGATGATGATGATGATGATGATTCTTGTGCGGGAGAAGATGCTCTTCCAGCCTCACCTTCTAATCTTAATTCTTATTTTGTTATGATCTTGGTAAATGTCAAATATATTTTATGTGCCACATTATCAGAACTTCATTATCGAGATGTACAATCTTATTTCTTTTCTGATGATGACCAGAAAAGCATAATCAGAAAAGAAAACTGATGATGCTTCATGCATTTAAAAAAAGGAGCATTGAAAAAGCACTTTTTATCACCAATTCTATTCTCAGTGGTTCCAGCTGGTGTGTTGGTTTTTGTCATGCATATAACAAATGCTAAATAAAAAATAGTTCTAAAAGCCAGAATTGTATTTTAGTGTTTAGCTGTGTAATGGGTGGTGGTGAATAACTAAAGGAAATTGTGATTCTTCTAGTACAGACCTAGAAGGAGGAATCAAACTAAACTAGAGAAACTTAAAGACCTTTTCACTCAACTTTTCTTTATTTGCCTCAACTGACAAAAATTTATTAGCAACTTAAGATGTGAGGGTTTAGTTTTCATAAAAGAAGTTTTATAAAAGTGAAAGATTCAAAGAAGCTGTAAAACTTGCCCGTTAAAAGTGGCTGTTTCTTTTTTTTATAGCTCTGCTATTTTGTGGTAAACTTGTAATAAATGCTCATTAAATTCTGGCTTTATTTGTGTTGCTGTTCTCATAATAACCAAGAAAAGCAACCCAGTAGCAGAATCAACTTTCTGTTCCTGTTGGATAATGTGAAATTCTCGTAGTTTTCACAGTAGATGAAGATTGATTTACCAGTTTGCAGAGTTGTTTGAATATTGAGTAAACGTTAAAACTAGGTTGTCTCCTGCTTTGTATATTGTACAAGAATTACGTTTGCATAAATGATAAAGAAACACTGCATCATGATTTAACTCATTTGAAATGTTGACGAGTAAATACAAGCACCTTTTTATTTTTCCAGAGTAAAGTGTGGAACAGAATGGGCTCCGACTGCAGATCAATAACTGGAGAGATGCCAGAAGTTAGGCCCAGACAAATAAAATACAGCTTTCAGATGAAATCCAAGCACTTTACTGGGGAAAATGTTTTTTATACACTTAGGGGAGTATGCATAGATGCCAATTAACACAAAAGAATGAGAGACATTAAATGTATCTGTCTGAATGTCAGTGTTGGCTGTTCCTGTTGGGCAGATATAAATACAGGAGTCGCATCTTCCTGCTTCTGCGTTGATAAGAAAAAAGCGGTAACCATAGAAATGACCATTTTCCCTATTCAAGGCTTCAAGTTTCTTTCACTCTTAAGATCAGTGAAGTAATTTAAATCTGACTTTAACAAAGAGATTACAATGCTTGGTCTTGATGGGATCAGTAGGGGTTATTTTGTTCAATGGCGTTTTAGTAAATAAATATTACCAAGTTCATTTTGCAGTAATGACCTTCAGGATTAAAACACAAACTTTGAAGCACGATAAGTGAATTAGGTCTCTGGGCTACCTTAATTTGCTGTTACACTCTTACTCTGAAATATGGCCAAGATCCACGGCAGAGGAAATGGAGGCAGAAGAAGAAGCAGGAGACAATAGCCAAGGCCTCTGCCAAGCCAGAAACAACAAACTGTCGGGATGCCACAAGTGGTATAGACAATACATTTACACAGAGTAGCATAACATTGTCATCTGGCAAGTTGCATGGACACCAAAGAGGTGTTGGAAAACATTGTAGACAATTGTTTGACCACTCTTATCACCAGAACTCCGGCTGAGTACAGTTTGCTGAGCCTATCTAGAATCATGCAACATTAGGTCTCTTATAGCTCCTTTGTTCCTGAGTCTGAGGCCCCATTTGAACCTCAGCTTTCTGTTACAGAGTAATAGAGCTAAATAAAGTCGACAACAGTTCTTCAGCCTGTGTGACTTAGAGGAAATTAACTGCTGATTAAATGACTCATTAGAAGCTTATGAATAATATGACATTCATGAGAACGATGAGTTCTCATAGTGCTACTGTTCTGGAAGCATGTGGATAAAGTGAGTCAGGGATTTTTGTAACCTTTAAGACATAAAGTATAAGAACATTTGCAAACTTTCTTAGAATGTAATTCTTTGCCCAAATGATGATGAATAAGAAGTTATTGTTAGTTGAAGCATCTGGTTTCATTGGCGGTTTATTGCACTTATAGTTAAATATGGATGTTATTCATAATGCTGTCAGTTTTCATGGTGTTTACAGAAACATTTGCTGTAAACAGAGTTAATAGATGCAAAATAAAAAAGCTTTACCCCCACATTTCAGCTGTTAAATAAATGAGTTTGGATTTTCTTTCTCTTTCTGTAAGCATGCAGCATCTTGGTGGGACTTCTTCCTCTTTTCTGAACTATAGGAGCCCTCACATGCTCTGGTACGGCGGCTGTGACGGCAGTAAAGTCTGAGGGTTTAGAGATTAGGGTGGAGTTTAGGTTCGGGCCTCGTCGTCTCTGAAATCTGAGCGACAAGCTGTTTTTGGTGTCAGAAATGGAAGCCATAATAAAACTGATATCTCACTGCCAGGAGGAGCTCTATTTGTCTGGCTGCATTTTAATCAGGTGCTGATGCAGCATTTGTGTATCTGTGCGTCCACATATTTTTACTCATTTCTCCAAACCATTATTGTGTTTTTGGGGTTGAAATCTCTACGTGCAGACTGCCTTCCTCCTCCTTTGTGTTGAAGCAGATTTCTAGCTCTTAGTCATTTGATGTTCAATCTGACAGAAGATTATAATAAACTACTGTTGGCCTTCTTTTTTTACTGTGTTTATCTACAGTTATTCCGTCATTTTTTGTCATTTATGACAACACTTTGTGTGATTCTTCTCTCTTATGCATGCATCATAAAGGATTATCTTCTCATCTGTCACTCTCTTCTTCTTCCTCTTCTCTTGATCTCCTCTCTCTTCCACCTCTTGGCTCTCCTTTCCTCCCTCCTTTCCTTTGCGAAGCCTGTAATGATCTGGCGGCCTCGGGCAGAGACAGGAAGCCCAATGCTTTGGTCCAGGTGGCTGTCATAGATCCCCAGAAGCAGCAGCTCGTCTTCCACGCCTGCACAGAGATAGTGGAGGTAAGCTATAGAGACACACATACACACACAGATACCCATTCACCATCTCCTCTCTGCCTGTCCGTAGCCTTTTGATGTTTGCTGTTTTGCGAAGTTGTTGGGTCTCAGTTGCATTTCTCTCCATCTCTGTCGGTTCAGCTCCTCATTTTGGCCATATCTTTTGAGTTTATGTAATATTCCCATGGCCTTAACTCACGATTGTTTTAGTAATTAATTAATCGATCAATTATTCTCAGAATTAACTGATTAATCCGTAATTTGAAGCGGATTAAACTAAAATTATTCCACTCGAGGACATATTTACAAAGAAGGTGTTTTTTTTCATGTTAAATGCAAAATGTGTATTTTTTTTTATACAGTTTTGGCTTATTTACTGCCCTGAGCGTGGTAATCTTTCAGCAAATGGCCTTTTTTTTGAGTTTGTGTACTCCAGTTAACAATTAATCAATTACTAAATTAGTTGACGATTATTTCAATAATCGATTCATCACAATTAATATGATTAATAGTTTCAGCCATAAAAATTTTAGACAAACTTCAGTGTATTCAGTTGGGATGTTATGTGATGAACCAACAAAAAATTAGGTCAAAATTATGAGATGGAAGGAATTATTTTAAAAGATTTTTTTCATACGTAGTAAATGCGTTGATCTAAATCATTCCAGTGTCGCTGTATGTTCAGCATTGTTGTCCTGCTATGCAAAGTGAACCACCACCACAGTAGATTTAGAACTATCTATCTTCCTATAACTTGTGACCAACTTTCCTTTCCCTGCTGAAGAAAAGCAACCCCACAGCATGGTGCTGCCACAACCAAATTTCACTCGTGCATTCAGCCTGATTTGTGTGCAGCTGTTGTTCAGTGTGTAAAGTCGTGGTCTTGCAGTCCAAACATTGTGGATTTAACAGCTTAGTTCATAAGTCAATTCTTTCATTGGAGCTGTGCATCTCTGCAGCTCCTCCAGAGCCGCCATGCTTGTCTGATTGATGCTCTCCTTGCCCACCTTTGTCACTTTAGGAAGACAAAGCTTAAAGCTTGTAATTATGGTTTTAGAGCCTAACTCTGTTCCTATACTTGTTCTTTGGTCTTCATGATGCTGTTTGCTCACTAATGTTCTCTACAAAACCTCTGAGTCCTGAAAGAAGCTGCTGGATTTCTACTGAGAACATTAAACATGCGGACATTTGAGTGATTTCTGAATCCGACTGGTTGTCTTGAATTTTATTTAGGGGTATCGGAAGGAAAAAATAAAAGTACACACTACACTTTTCTGCAGGGGCCCCAAAGGGATATTGAAGGAACAATGAATAAACTTTCTTTCTTCCTTAACAGATTGACGTCAGTCCGACAGGAAAGCAACGAAACGATATCTTTGTATGTCAGAACAAACTGGGAATCTCACTCGATTATCTTACATATTTCCATTTCAGCAAACATTCTGACATAATCTGAAATATCATAACTTCTCTGGGATCTTTTCTCATGCAAACTTATAAAATCATGCATCATTTTCCTTCCACTTTGCTGTCAAGTTCAGTCTTATGTAGTTCTGTCACATAAAATCCTAATAAAAGGGACTGAATTTCTTTGGCTGTAGTGTGACAGGATGGTTCCGCTTCAGGAAAGCACTGTGCACTGCACATGTGGATTTGGCTGGGACACCGCTACATACAGATTTCATGCCTGTTAGCCTCTTTCAGTGCTTCAGTATGACACTGTTGCTGCTGAGGAAAAAGCCACATGTGTTTTTTTCTTTTTTTCTTTCATGCAGCATGCAGCTGCCCCCAGTCCCACTGTGGAGACACACACATACACGCAGACACACACGCGTTCTGGTTCCTCCTCTCTCATATGAGCGCAAAGTTTCCAGACGCATGAAAGGGAGACACTATTTTCCTCCTAATTCAGTAAAGCTTAATTAGCATAACCATCTCCTTCAGAGTCTGATTTCAGCTTTCTTTCCCTGGCGCTCAGGGAGCAGCGGCGAATGTGTTTTTCTGTTCATGCGTGTGTGGAAACACAGGATGTGGTGGGATACTGTATGCTGGCTCAGACAGCTCCGCAGACACTGAATGCCACTGGAGTTCTCATTTCATGGCTGTAATATTCTGGATGTGGAGCAGGATTTGAGAACATGGACTGCCTTCGACTTCACAAAAACAGGGTATGTGATTACTGTCTGATTTTATCAGGGTTTTGCAACCTATTAAGGATTTTCCTAGAAATTTACTTTGCAGTGTGAAAGTTCTCCCTAAAAAACTGATGATCAGATTCAATATCACAAACTAAAAATATTCTGCCTCTCCTGAAATTCTCTTCTGAAAAACATTCTGGAGATTTCAGAGGAAAGGGGAAAGTTTCAAGTTTCATTTAGAAATGTTTTCCATGGGATATTATTTGCTGTTTGAACCAGTGAGAGACGTGTGAGCGCGTCTGAGGGCTTGTGTTTCTGGGCAGATCCACTCTAGCTGCGGTGCCTGAAGACAGCCCCGCTGCCTCTTGTGTTCCTCCTGTTGTCACATTCCCAGGATGCCTACTCTCAGCAGCTGCTGTCGACTTTGCCGGATACTTGAGCGCTTGGCTGCTGCAAAAGCTTCAGTATTAGTCACATTCATGTGATTGGCATATTATTGGGAATCCACTTTATCTGATTTATTAAGATTTAATTTAGAAGATAAATAATGGAAGATGCCAGCTGCTGCGTAGCTTTCCCTCGTCTCACTCATGAATGCCAAGCTGGAGTTTGGAAGGAAGTGAACAGAACTTTCCATCAGTTTGAGTTTAAAGATGTCAGCTTTTTGTGTTTTTATTTACATAGTTTGACATAAAAATCAATGTCCACAGTGTTGAGAGCATAATTCACATTAAGTCCTAAAACATATGTATGAGAACATTATGTAATATCACTGGTTTATCTTGCATATAACAGTTGAGACAACACACCATTTTAATAGTATTTTGGAGAAAATTCCAAATCAAAATGAGTTTTCAGTCCAGATTTGCCTTTAAGTGCTGAAGCTTTATTTTAATTTAATGTCAAATTTCCAACCTCTAATAATAACATGTATAAAGTGGGAACATTGTTTTCAGTGAACAGGGATTCTGCTGTGGGACTTTCTAAAGCACTCACAGTGAGGCGAGTCCTCGTTCAGCAGTCCCTCCAAGCTGCAATCAGTTAGTGCTTCTGTGTTTGAATTGCAAATGAAATGATCTGTTTTCATATCAAATTGCATTTTTTTCTGTTGGTTTGATCTATTTAAATTGTTAAAGTGGATTACAGAGATGTTTGTTCTTTAAAAGTTCCCTTTGCAAAACACTTTATAGGCTGGATAAAAGGCACTTGGTGTTTTGTTAAAGGGCCACTGCAGCAAACAGGGTAGACCAGCCAACAACAAAATTACTGCACTGTTTTTCCACCATTGTTGTTTGGAGAAAAAAGCAGTATTGGAAGACACAGATGAAGATTTTATGTTTACTTCTGGTTTTTACGCTCTCCTGTGTCCCATTCTGCCGATTTTATTTTTTAAACTCATTACTATGCAGTACGTTGTAATTTTCAGGATATAAAAAGCTAGATTTGCAACACTGATGCTAGCTGCAACTGGACAGAGCTTTAAGAAACAGATTTCATCTAGACAAGAAATGATTTGACATGTTATCTGTGTGCAGCAGTATATGTGTATTATTATATGTACGGCCAATTGGACGGTGATAAGCTTGTACTAATGAAGTTAATTTTCAGAGCTTTGAGAAATAAGTAAAACCTTTAAATTTATATTTTACATCTAACATTTACTGCTGCAAAGCATGAACTGTAAAATTGGCCTTTTTTCTTCTTACTAATGAGAAAATTATTAATTTTTAGCTTTCTTTACAAGATTAAACATATTATGTCTTATTAGGTGAATATAATACTCATTTTACTTAAAAACAAAACACCTCTGACAATAATTATTCCAGAATTACTGTATGAAGTATTGGTGTTTATTTTCACCCTTTGGAGAGCGGTCTCCTGCATAGCTTAGATGTGTTTCTGCTTTAACGCACCTCAAGTAAATCAATGGGTCATTAACAGGCCAATGCAGACATAATTAAGCCATTAAGCCAAGACAAACGTAAAATATGCAGGACACTGGCTTAGTATTGGACTCTGCTCATATAAAGATTTTCTTATTTCCACATTAAACCCTCATTCCTAGACATAATTAAACATATATGTCTTATTGTGGACATTGCACATGTTTTTGCTGTGACTAATTCATAAAGGATTAATGTCAGTCCTTTGAGTTTCTTGTATGTGAATGGGTTTGTGTTTCACGTGTACTCAGTCTGACACAAGAGATGAGAAATTTGGAAAGAAATGGCAGCATGTCTTTTGCCAAACCTTAATGTGTCTCCACTGGAAAATCCTACAATGTGGGTAGCTGGTCCAGGAGTTCTGAAACTTGACGGGGATTTGACGTCAAACAAAGCCAGCAAATGAAAAGGCCTTTGATGGTAACGCTAGTGAAGCACAGACCCATGTGCTGAGAGCACGACCAACAAGTCTCGTCTGTCTGTTTGTATATACAGCTATGAGCGGTCAGGGGGCTGGGGGAAAACCCACTGAAGGCACACTCAGTAGTCTTATTTCTTCCTCAGCCTAATCACACACAAGCACACACACCCTGTTAATGGCCTTAAATTGGTCGTCCCTCTGCGGAGCACAGCCCGGATGGACAAAAAGACCAGAGAGAGGCAGCTGTCTGCCATAGCATATGCTCACCACTTGTATGACAGACTGGTTTGCTTCTTGGCATAAATGGAGACAGGCTTACCACTTTAGCTCATCTCAGCCCATCAGCAGCACTAAGAAGATTCAGTCACTGCCGAGGCTGCCAAGCATGCTGGTAAGTCTGAATGAGGCCTATTCAGCGTGCCAGTGAGGGCAGCGAACAGGGCTGTGTGTGTGTGTACCTGCATTTCCTTCAGCATAATAGTCCTGTCTGTCTTTTTTCCGACGTGTAGCGCTGATAATGTCCTGATTTCAGTTCAAAGCAATGCATTGGTTTCACCGTCTCTGTTCCCGCTGTGCTGAATCCGGCTGTGTGATATTAGAGCACATAAACCACAAGGGTTCATGGCTGGGCGCGAAAATGGCATCAAGACAACTATTACCATGCCTCAAGAGGCTGAAATCAGAGTTTCCCTCTCCAACAGCTCATCGAGGATTTTTGAATTATCAATTTGCTCTGTGATGCTTTGCATTTTCAAAAGGTAGAGGCAATGTCTGCTTTCTTGTCTGAAAGAAGAACTGTGCTGCTGCTGGAGGTTAACCTCGTTAAAACCTAGTTTTCTCCCCTCAGTGCTGGTAAAATGATTGTTGTTTTTGGCTTTGAGCTGTTGAAAAGAAAACTCAAGATCAGGCTATCGAGATAATTGACAGGCCAGGTGATGACACCCAAGTAAATAAAACAAGCTCCTAACTCCCCCACACCCCCAAAAAAAAAAAAACCAGTAAGCTACTGGATACGAAGCCTGTTTATCAACTGACCCTAAAAATTAAAAACATGCACATAAATCTGGGATTATGTCAATTTCTGTCAAACATTAATGTCTTTAGATCACCTGTTTCTCTCATTTGTTCAGTGTGGTATGAACCAGACTGTTTTAAATTAGACCAAGTAACAAACTTGGTCAAATTTTATAGACTAAGTTTAAAAAATTAGACCAACATTGGTATAATTCTTTAGACCAATATTTAGTTCTGTTTTTTAAATTAGACCAAGTAACAAACATTGTGCTAGCAGTCTTTTGAAAAAATAATATATCAGCTGCTCAAATTGCTTTATAAGCTTTGTATTTCAGGGCTTTATATTTGCTGGAGTTGCTTCTAATTGTAATTTTCAAACTCACTTGCCAATAAGCATCTTTCTTGGCTCTTCCAGCTGTGATTGCTCTGTCTGCTGATAACTTTATGTGTAACATTGAATACTTTCACGGTGCCTTGCAGAGAATTCAAATAGAAATTTTTTGCACTTTCTTACACCACCACCTTAAACTTCAACACATTTTTATTGCAGAAAAATGCGTAGGGATAAGTTGCTACTTTGGACTGTTTGCTGTAATTAATGGAACCGTCTCTAACAGAGAGTTGGAAGGAAAATGTCAGGCTCTCCGTTAGCAGTAATGGGCTGTAATGCTCAAAATCTTCCAAATCTGAAACAGAGTTGGCAAAAAATTTCCTCCTCAGCAAGTTTTTGCTGCCAAGGGTGGCACTGGCAGGTTTAGAGGTTAATTACTTTTTCAGAAACGCCCAGAATAGTTTGGGTGGACATTTTCTAAGATGTCATCCTCATTTAAAAACTAATTTATTTTTATTTACTTGTCTGTTAATGAAATTGATTTGATGATCTGAAATATTTATATGTGGAAAAAAAGCAGAAGAAATCTAACGGTTGAAGTACTTATAAGTTTTTACAACATTGTTAATGTATCGTTGGAGGACGTCCTGTTTTTTGCTTGGCTTTAAAGATGGCTGAGAATGCAGTTCTGAGGTATTGAGAAATAAAATGACCTCCCAACAATAAACTGTTGTGTTAGTTTGAACTTTGTGCTCTTTCTTCGTTGTCAGAATTAATATTAGCAGTGTGGCCCACTGAGGTTGCCTTATAGTAAAAGCACAGACATCTGTCCCGCTTCCTTTCCTTTGTATGCTTTCATCTTCTGCCATCTTTCATGGTGCACACAGAATAAATACTAAGTAAATTCTTATTTGCATTCAACATGTATTTGTTATTATTATCTTACTATTGAGTTAGAAAATTCTATGTAAAATAATTTGGTGAGTTAATTAAATCAGGCATGCGATTTTGCATTATTTGCCTTATCAGGGAGATTTATTCATTTATCTCAGCTGTTTTGCAAAGCTTTGCTAAAATAGTGAGGTTTTTTTTTTTTTTTTTGTCTGGGTGTGACCTTACATCCAAGCGTGACAGTAAGTCTATGTTGGCCTCATTACTGCCCCAAGTCTGTCCCATATGGTCCCAAAGGGCTACATGCTGGAGACGCCCATCAGAGCGGAGCAAAGGAAGAGAACGCCCCCAGTGTAAACAGAAAATGTTTTGAACTTGTACAAACACACAACACCAAATGAATAATAAGTTCTCAAAGGCTTTTGCCTGCAAAAATAGTTTATTAGTGTCAAAATATATTGCTGACTAAATGAACTTTAAAATAATTCATAGTTTCCAGGAGACTGTTTTGTTGTGCGTTTTATCTTTTCAAGCTCAATTTCAAAGAAACTAAAAGATAAACAGACAAAACTCTTTTGAGGTAAAACTTTCTAAACTTTTCAGTCGTTGGTCTCATGGTACACCATGGAATAGATGCAGAATGAAAATCACTTGCAGAAGATAAACATTTTTGTTTATGTCCAGAATCATGTTTTCCTCTCAACCACTTTTCATTTCAGACCTAATCCCAACCCAGGTAAGGTAAAGAAAACAGCCAGTAAAAAGCCTCAGCACACACAAGGTAGATACAAGTCTAAAGGGTAAAACAATATGTGGTTCGCTTCAAGTACTTGAAAAGATCTGAAAGAAAAAATGATCAGAGACTCCCTAAACGTTTGGATACAAGCTTGCTTTCCAATCAAACTGCTGAATAGCTTCATATTTTTATCTGTAAATAATTTATGTTTTATGACTGTGTAGAAAAAAGTCTGTTTGTTTTTGGTCTTTTTAGTCCGACTTCATGCATTGCCTCCTGGCTGACGCAGACACAAGTGGACAGCATTAAACATGGTCATTCACATCTAAAATTAAAATTCATTTTGAGTGCTCACATTCCAGTTTGGCCAAACTAACTCAGATATGTCACACGGTGAGTTGTGACCAATCCCAGCAGTTTGAGGCACAGTTTTCTAACCTAACAGATGTGATATTAAAGAAGAAAAGCATGCATGCTATAAAAACCCAGATCTGTGGGCTCAATCTGCTTTTAGTGTATTTACACCTACATTTAGAGCCATAAAGGGTTGAGCTTGTTGTCCACAGTCATTTTAGGGATCTGTCTAAATGGAGCCCTAAAAAGATCTAATTGCTATATCCCCACTAAATTTGCATAATGTGCCTGTGTTGAGGTTTACTAGTGTCATAGAAATTAGAATAAAAAAACTACATTAAAGTGATTGCCCTTCTTTGAAAAGAATTTCACAAATATACTTTATTATATCTCAGCAAACTGGTAAACAGTAAAGCTGTTTCGAACTTTTATAGACCAACCAACATAAAGATTTTACTTTACGCCCATCTGCACTTTTACAGTCATCTATCTGTGCTGACATAATTACTAACATGAAGTTCTGGTAGGCAAGATGTCCAGAGTTCTGGCCAAGAATATTTGGAAATGTGGTCAAATTGAACCCGCAACCTTCTGAATGCCAAACAACTTCTCATTCTTTATATTCATAAAAGAAAATCAGCTTCTTTGTGTGCATGCAATGTTCAGTCAACAAAATAACATGGGGACAACACAAACATCACCTTTAGGAAGATGATTGTGTCCTCCTCCCTTATCCCTCTAATCATGATTTTCTTTGACCCTTAAATCCACTCAGTTTTGCATAATGTATGTTCAGTGCTTGTTTATGCACAAATGGAGGAGTTGAAGTATGTTAATTACAGATTGAAGATGGATTAGAGCTCTGTTTGTCATAATGAGGATCTTGTTCCTTTAAGACAACGCTTTGAATTTACAGATAACTCTATATTCCTTCTACCATTACATGACGTTATGTGTATAAAGAGCAAAGTTCTGGATGCAAGCAAATATAACAAAGATGCCACAATTAGATCTGCTTCTGCTGAAAGTGATTCGGTTCTTTTGCTCTTTTCCACATCAAGGGACCAGAGTGAGATCAGGCATCTGGTCAGGACGCCTCTTGGGGCCCTTCCTTTGATGGTCTTCTGGGAATGTCCCAGTGGGAGGAGATCCCAAGGCAGAACCAGAACCTTCTGGTCCAGGAATGCCTTGGGATTCCCTTAAAGAAGCAAGAGGATCTCTGTGTTTTCCCTTCTGGAATCTAGAGTACATATCACAAAACTAGGCTCTCCAAAGTTAGAGTACTTCCTCTGAAGGACAATGGTGTCAGTCTGTTCATTAATGTCCATGTGAAAAAAAAAAAAAAGAAAAAAAAAAACTGAATTATAAATTAATTTGTAAATGAATGTGTGAGAGAAAAATCTCAGAAAAATAAATTGAGTTAAAGATTTAGCTGCTCCAGTTAGATTAAAAAATGAAAACATCACTATGGTGATAAAAAAAAATTGGTAAATAAATAATCCCACTTGCAAACCTGAACTCCAGCATAGTTCAGACATTTAGACTAAAAAATAAAATGTTAAAATAAGTTTATTAAAGCAAACTATCATATAATTAAGCCAATTTTGTTCAATGCATTGTTGAAATTTGCAAAATCCATCCAACATGCCAACCGCCCCAACCATGAAGGAAATCCAGACATAAATATGACCAGAGTGAGATCAGGCATCTGGTCAGGACGCCTCTTGGGGACCTTCCTTCCAGCACATTGTCCGGAAAACCAAAAACAAACCATCTTCCTGTTGTCTTCATCATTGTTTTCACCACTAGTTTATCACTAGACTCTTGTAATCCGAAAAGAGCGTTTCCATTATTGTTTTGCGAAATACATCTATTTCTATACGGCTGACAAACCGCCTCATCCTAGTGCTAAAACCTATTGTGAGTTTTTCCAGATTGCCATGTTTCCATTAAGCAAATTTATTTTTGTAATTTCAAATAGCCCAATTCTATGGTTATTGAAAATGTGCACATAAACACACTCACGCACTTTCTCAACTTTTTTCTGTCCAACAGGCAAACAAAGACCCACTGTTTTTGACGGGGGTGACCTTCCCTTCAGAATATCCTGACAGCCAAGACTCACTGGTCAAGCTAACTGTGTATGATGCAAAAAACAAGAGCCAAGAATCAGTAAGTCAATACTTGTTGTTCTCCGCATGCATGCACGCAATTAAACATCCAGACAGTGATGCGATGATGAAATGCATTTAAGACGAGCTGTGAAGCTGTCTCACTTTAGGTTTGGGGATGCTTTAAACTTTAAAGGAGATAAAGAAGCTTTAAGATGCAAGTGTCTGAGTAAAAGCTTTGAATGACTTTCAGGAAGCCTGAAGAAATATGGGAACACAGCACTTGAAAGGTTACAAGAAAAGTCTTGCTGCTTGCTACTAAAAGTAAGACGAAATGAGGGCTGATTCAAGAGTTTTGCACTCAACTAAACTTCAAAATCTCAGTATGTGTTAATCTATCCTAGAGATTCAAAAGGTTGGGTTCTGAACTGAGGTATGTCTTAGTGATCATTCCTTTCTGACACTAACCTCTGCCTGTGGCTTTGATAGAGAAGGTTATTCAGCCTGCAGTGAGCTTCAGAGCGTTGCAGCCCCTCCCTTGGGAAAACCATCTGTCACATACGTGGGAACTGAAAGGAGACCCGGACACAGAATCCAGAACAGGCCAACCTCTGTGATTTAGACGTTTAAAACAGAATTTATAACAAGCTACTTAGAGTGGGCGTGGGTTTCATCTTAATCAAGTAACGAGTTCAAGTCAAGATGCCAACATCTTAATTTGCTTGAACTTGCCATAAAACATTCATGAGCTTTTTTGACCATTAAAAGAGTTTATTATGGCAGCGCTTGGTGTCTGAAAGACAAAACGGTGGCGCAGTGCCAGCGGCAGCACGCACTGCCACTTTGTAATTCCTCTTTGTAATATTTAGTGTAAGTCAGTTGTCTTTGTACTTCCAAGGTAGCTGGAAAAAGTTGGATTACTTGTAGAAACTTTAATTTTCTTGTGGAGAATTTTCATTTCCAAAGAGAAATATGACAAGGTTGTTTTTTTACCTTTGCTCATAAATTTTCATCCATGAAGTCCACATGCAAATTTAATGGTGTACTAATAATAAATGGAGGTTGACATTAATAACAATAAGTTAGTTTGGCAAAAGAAAGCCAAAATATTATAATTTACTCAAATACAACTGTTGTGGTCTCTGAGTTCGTACACTGCCTCACAAATTATTCATCCACCACTTTATCACACTTTGGCATGTGTGAAGCAAACAACTAATATGTGTTTTTACTGGATTGCAAAACACAGAATAGTGCAATAACACTTTAAAGGGGCAGTATTTTCCAGACACAGTGCCATTTTACAGCGCTATAAAGTAACAATGTTACGTTCAGTTGTCATAGAAATGTTGTATTTATCAAATCTGACTTAAAAGAATTTTGACTTTAATTTAACGCCTTGAAATTGGGCCTCTGTCTCTTTAAAAATTTCTCCTCCAGGATAATTGCGTCATCGCTCCACTGTTAACGTTATAACGTTTTTTTTACTAACGTTTTACCAACGAGAAGTTAGCAGTTCCACCAGGTGTTTGCTAATTGCTGCTGGCTAGTCTGAAGGAGCTGAGCGAGGGAGTCACAGGGGAGGGATGGTTCGTGAGGCAGAAACTCAGAAGCTTGAAAACTACAGCTCCAAGGAGGAG